CCCGCCAGCCGCTGTCGGAGCAGGCTTCGTGCCGCGCGCGGGAGGTGAGTGCCAGGCGGGGTCGCTGGGGGCGATCCGAAAGCCTTGGAGACCCCAGGGCTGGGTGGCGGGCTTGGCCTTGGGAGTGGCTTCTCCCTGGACGGCACTGCCGGGGCGGCGAGGCCGGGAGGCGGGAAGGGCGGTGCCGCTCACTCCGGCCCTCTCCCGGAGCGCGGCCGGGGTGGCGCCGGAGCAGCCGCGCCCAGGGGCTCCGGCCTCGGCGACGATTAGCTGCCGGATCCCGGTGAGCGGGGAGGAACGGGACCCGGTGGGGCCCTGGGCGACGTTGAGGGGCGCAGGGACGCGTGGCGGGCCCAGGCCGCGCCTGCAAGGAGCACGCTGTCCTGCCGGCTCTGCCTTAGGGCGCAGCCCCCGGATCGCCGTCGCCCTGGGCCGCCCTGGCGACAAACTCGGGTAGCAGCCCGGGGCGCGTTGGCCGCGACTGCCGGGGGGAGAGGAGGGGACGGTGTCTCGGTTTTGGTGGATTTCCCAGCAGGCCCGGGGCGAACGCACTCCCAAGCCGTTGGGGAAGGGCCTGGGAGTTGGATTGTGGGAGGGTTCTTCTTCATCGGGAGGGATTGTAAGGAATATGGACCCAAGGAGGAGAAGGGGCGAATTGGGCAGAGAGAAAAGGAAACCCCAAGGAGCTAGGGCTGTAAGAGGCGATCTTAACGGCATACAGGCATTTGAAAAGAAATCTGAAAGGTGCAATGGAGCCTCACTTTTCCAAGCAGTAAGGAATGATGCGTTGCATTCCGTATTTCCTTCTCTTCCACTCCTCACTGTTGGACTAGGAGGGAGATTTGCAAGGCAGAGATGGGGGTTTTTTTCCCCTCTGTATTTTGCACATAGTACCAATGTTTAGGACGTGCTGCTTTGTCAGGAAAAGCTAGTAGCAAGGAACAGATTACCAAACCATATCTTTTTTTCTGTTTTCAGACGTAAGGAAGATTTGAGTTTGCAGTCTTCAACTGAGAATAAGTTTGTGTTTTAGCTTTCCCCAGGTGTCTTAGAGGGATGTAGGGAGCTGAGTTTGTGCTCTCAGAATGTGTTGATACCTGATAAAAGCGCATCTGAACTTTTATCAGTCTAGAGAAGGGAGCTATTTATTAAGAGATAAGAGTCAAACATTTTTTTCTTCTAGACTAGAAGGTTCATTCAAATGAATGGTCATTGGGTAATTCCAGAAATGAAAATAAAGCCTGTTACCAAAACAGTGGCCAAATTATAATTCCAGAGCGGATGCATGAGGTGATTTAAAAGCAAGGAGGAAGAAGAGAGGACCAAAGCTTTTCCAAAAATGAGGAGAATGTTGATGTATAATAATTTGCTCCTTAGCAGCTTGCTGGGTATAGAGCATTGATTTTAGATGTCATATTGCTTGATGGTGTTGAGTTATGACTTAGATGTATTCTTTTTCTGTTCTTTTGCTCAGTAGTTCACAGCAAATCTTTTAATTAAGCATGGAATATGGAAAACAGCAGAAAAACTTCTGCTAGTGCTTTAGTCTCATCTGAAATTCTATGGGTAAGTTCATCTTATTTTAATTTAGAAATTATCCTGACTGGTTAAAATTGACTGTAATAGTCTCCTTTATAAGATTCTAAGGATCATTTACACAGCTACAAATTCTGTTGTATATTCTGGTATATCTTTTTTCCCTGAAGGATTTGAGGGTTGTAAGAGTTAAGCTTTACTAAACCATTTTGGATGATACATGTATTTCTAAAAATTGGATTATTATTAAAATACCGTGATAACTCAGGAAAAATTAACTATGTAAACTTAATTTGGTGGCCATATTCAACCTCAGACTCCACTCTCTTTATTCCTTTTTTTTTTTTTTTTAATTTATTTGATAGAGACAGACACAGCGAGAGAGGGAACACAAGCAGGGGCAGAGGGAGAGGAAGAAGCAGGCTTCCAGCTGAGCAGGGAGCCTGATGCAGGGCTCGATCCCAGGGCCCTGGGATCATGACCTGAGCTGAAGGCAGACGCTTTAACAAGTGAGCCATCCAGGCGCCCCTCACTCTCTTTATTCCTAAGAAAATACTCCAGTGGATACTTTTTCCTCTGTTCATATCCCTTGAAATGATTTGCCTTCTCTCTGTGCCCAGTCTGCAGCTCTGTTCTTTCCCCCATTGGGTGATACAGGTAGAATCCCATTTGAGAAAGTGCCTTTATCCCATTCACAACCATATAATGTCGAGGCCAAATACACTTTTCTTTTGCAGTTCTAAAAGTTGTCATTGCTCATCCCTGCTCACTGTGTAGTGACCACACTGTACAACTTCATGGATGAGGTCAAATGTGGGGAGTCAAATAGGATGCTCTTAAATGGCCTTGTACAGCAGATGCATTCAAAAGTTGCAGTTCATTTGACAGCATTTCTTCTGCAAATATCTCTTTTGGGACTGCGAACAATGGTTTTATTTCAGTAAAAAGTTGCCTGTTATTAATACTGATTTGCTTTTGGCACCAGAGTTTTTGGTACGTTGTGAATTAGATGAGAGGGGACGGTGAGGGTATGTGCAGGAAGCATAGTGATTTGTAGGAGGTTTGTCTAAACGAGGGGAAGATGAAGATGAAGCCACAGAACATCCCAACGGTGAGGCCCTGAGACATTGCCCGATGGCTAGGGAGATAACTTGTAACCCCTGAAGCTCTGAGAAGTGAGGGAGTAAAGCCAGAAAGCTAGAGTAGATTATTAATTTTTCATTCTATGTGTTTCTGACCCTGAATTAGTCAGGACTCCAGGCCTTTTGTTGTCCCCGTAGAGCATCCATAGCCTAGCTTAATGCTATTCAGCCCTGTCTACCCTCCGGGAACCATGTTATATGGGAACATGTTACCACCACTAGGATCCCCCCTTCAGTAATAAGGAAACACAGAGAAGAAAGATTTTAGGAGATTGAGATTTTCTTTTTTTTTTTTTCTTTTTTTTTTAGTAGGCTCCTTGCCCAGTGTAGGGCTTGAACTCATGACCCTGAGATCAAGAGTCACATGCTCTACTGACTGAGCCAGCCAGGCACCCCAGGAAATTGAGATTTTCTTGCTCTTCTAAGGTATGCCATTTCATGGGGCTAGAACCACACCTCCAGACCAGCAGCCTGTTTGGTAAAGTTTTTTGGAGCATAGCCACATCTATTTGCTTAATATAGTCTATAGCTCCATTTTTACTACAAAGACAGAATCAGGTGGCTGGGATAGAGACTGTATGGCCCACAAAGAAAATGTTTGCTATCTGCACTTTTATTAAAAAAAATTTTTTTTGCCACTCCTGGACTAGAACATAGAATTCTGCTAAACTCCCAAGCTGTGCGTTTTGTACAGGCATTTTTAAGTTAGCATAAAGAAGCACTATATTTGGCTCCTATTTTGTAACAGACTTTGTTTTCAAGGATGGAGATACCCCCTTTCTAAGAGAAAAAATTCTTATCAACTCTTCTCAGTGTTAAATAGTTCTTTTCTCTAAACTGATAATAGGTTCTGTAATGTGCATTTTTATCAAGCATCTGCACATTCTGAGAGTGCAAAGTCAGCTCGCTGCCATGGACCCTGACCACACATTTAGAGACACTTGAGCAGGGAGGTCTCCCTCCCATCTTCTCCAGGTGGGCTTTACCCATAATGTTCAGTCTGAGCCTTGGAGTCCTCAACCTTCCTCCATGCTCTACATGGTGTCAACAACTTGAGGGCAAGGCAGGGTTCTTTTTCCCCATGGCGGTCCCAGCCTCTAACACAGGTCTGGCATGTCGAATGAAAAAATGATAACTAAGGAAAAGGTAATTGGTGACTTAGCCTGACAGATAAGAATGACAAAGATATGTAATATTCCTAACCTAGGGCAACAATGAGAAGAGATATTAACTAGAGCAGCTTCCCCTGTTCTTTTCCTCCAATGGGTAAAACTGTTTATAACAAAACAGAGACAGGAAGCCCAGCTTTCAAGCTAGCCTTCCTGCTGTTCTGCCTGACTTGTGTGATCTTTGCTCTGCTCCAGTTTTCCTAGCTTCTCTCCAGACCCAGTCATCTTGTTGCCTCTTCCCCCAGGCTGTTCTATCATGTGGCTCTTTCAGACTGCTCACCCCTGAGTGCAGAGGTACGTCCACTTTTGCTCTGTTTGGGTGTTTTGGTCAGTACCGTATTCTCACAGTCCAGCACGAGCCCAAAAGTGTATGTTGAACACATGACTGGCTATGAAGAACACATGGGACATGAGGGATCAGCCAGTTTTGAAACCAGTGAGGCACCGTCTTTGGGCTCACTTGTCCACTTTTTTCAGAAAGACCATTCAGTGCCCTGCCCTCTTCAGAGAAACTTAATTCTTGTGAATTATCTAAGGCTTCCCTTGATCTTCAGGTGAAGGAACCTTTTGAATATGGAGATGAGTTAGTCAGACAAGTGCTCTGAATCTCTGCTGGCTCCTGATGGTCATTGCCTTTGTGTTGGAGTGTTTGTTAATTTTTACTGAAGCTCAGTAATTTATTCAGGGTTATCTGGAATATAAACTCATTAATGTTATTCTTCTCAGCAGTTCCTCTTTTTCTGAAAAGTGTATGTGAAGGGAACACTAGTTGGATCTTGTCTGGATGAGAATTAGAAAGAGCATGATATGCTTGGAAATTGAACGGTATTTGCACATAGGATTCCTCCTTTTTTTAAGTTTCTGGGTTAGCTTTGACAGCTCTTCACCCTGAGGAAGATCAGAGGTGCTGCACTATGTGGAAGAAAGCATGAAGATGCCAGCGAGATTAACACAAATTAGGGAAGGTGCCTAGTGGGGCGTGGCTGTGGAGCCCACTCAGGATGAGGAATCCGGGATTCCCAGCCCTGCTTGCAGGCCGTGAGACCCTGACTCATGATCAGGTCTCCCCGTCTCAGTCTCCTCAACTGGAAAATAAATGCTATGGTAGTAGTGCATACCTCATAGATTATTTTAACCAACAAATAGTGGAAGTATGGAGAGTACTTCCTACAGTGCCAGGACCAAGCAGAGGCTTTTGCTAAAAGTATGCAGAGAGGGGAATATGAAGAAATTGGATAAAGTAGAAAGCAAGGGTTTTTTTTTTAACATTAACTTTGTTTGCCCCGACAGAGTAAAGCGTATCTCATTTTTAAGTGTTATTAAATTCGGCAAGTATAGCGGTTCCAGTTCATCCATGCAGTAAATAAAATTTGATTCTCTATTGTATGTCCAGCTGTGCTTCAGAGTAAGAGGGAGGAGTGTAAGCTTTATCAAAGAGGCACAGTCCTTAAAATAATTTGGTGCCACTCGAATATTTCACACCTCAGTTTGAAAAGGTTAATGTATTTTGTAGTTCTCCACCAGATGCCAGAAATACCCATTGTAGGACTTTTGAGAGTTCCAGTCACTCCCAGTTACAGGAAGATCAGGGGGCGGGAGGAAGGTCACAAGAGAGGGGAGCTTGTGTGGAAGAGGAACTGAGAAATGTTGCATTTGGCATGTGAACCTCTACTCATAGTTCCTGTGGGCTTCTATGTTCAGGGTGGCAAAACGTTAGCAACTTTAAGATGCTAGAGGAAACATCATCTTTGGATTCTGAAAGGAAGCTTATCGGGGCGCCCGGCTGGCTCAGTCAGTAGAGCATGTGACTCTTTTTTTTTTTTTTTAAAGATTTTTTATTTATTTATTTGACAGAGAGAGAGAATGAGAGACAGAGAGCATGAGAGGGAGGAGGGTCAGAGGGAGAAGCAGACTCCCTGCCGAGCAGGGAGCCCGATGCAGGACTCAATCCCGGGACTCCAGGATCGTGACCCGAGCCCAAGGCAGTCACTTAACCAACTGAGCCACCCAGGCGCCCGAGCATGTGACTCTTGATCTCAGGGTCGTGAGTTCAAGCCCTACGTTGGGTGTGGAGCCTACTAAAAAAAAAAAAAAGAAAGAAAACTTACTGATTTGGGGGGAGAATGTGGATAAACTAGGATTTATTTGCATGTCCATATGTGCTGTAGACCATATGGTATCCTATAAGAGACATTGGGAGCTGCTGCAAGGTCTGTAAATGGAACAAATGTAAGCAAATAAGAATACGTTAGAGGACCATGTAGTGAACTTTAATAAATAAAAATAGCAGTGCCATCTACTTAGTTCTTACTGCATGCCAGCCCCATCCTAAATGTTCAACATGTGTTATTTCATGAAACGGAGTTTCTGATTCACTGTGATCAGATGGGGTTGGGCCTAAGGCTCTGCATTTCTAGCAAGCTCCCAGGTGGTGCCCAGGCCCTGTACTTGGAATAGTGAGGTCTAAAGCGGCACACTGGAATCACCTAGAAAACTTTAAAGACACTGCCGCAGGAGCCTCACTGCCCTCTGCAACTCTCATTCAGTTAGTCCCGGGTACAGCCGGGCTTCCAGAGGTTTTCAAGTTCTCCGAGAGCTTATAATAGACAGCCAAGTTTAGGAACCACTGGGTCCAGAAAGAAAAGGGAAGAGAGAGGTAGTGGCCAGGCATCACTGGTTTTGTTTGTTTCTAATATAAACAGAGGAGGTCAGAATGGTAGAGTTTTATATTGCTTTGTTTATGAATTAATATGTTCAGTTGCAGAGGGAGCTAGTAGGGGAATTTTCTTCATGAGGTGTATTGATATGTGTATGTCTCCCTCTATAAAGAATAGGACATGACTGATGTGTGTAATTATGATTTGTACTAAACTCAGTGTGCACAGGGCCTTGTTGGGGCTATTAGGATTTCTACCCTTTGCACTACTGTTCTTTTATGTGGAAGAAGAGTCATAATTTGCACAACTGATGGTACTTTTATAATTATCTTTAATGATAGCACACATTTTCTCCTTCGGTGATCCTAAATCTAGTATGCCCAGGCTTAGAATTTTATTGAAATGTGGTTTTGGTGGGGTTTTTTGTTTTGTTTCGTTTTGTTTTTTGCTTTTTCATGTCTGGACCTTTTAAAATGAACATGATCAGAATTAGGATAGCCTATTAGAAGAAGGCTTTGTATCATGAGAGAGCTGAGGAAAAGTAAGCATAATCTAACAGATTCAGGAGTTTGCTTTTGGATTCAGTTTATTCGTGGGGATCTTTTCTTAATATATTGAATGGGTAAAAGCACATTACCAGAGCATTTGTGCAGCATTCAGATATCCACCTAGCACCTACTGTGTGCAAGGCCTTTTCCCTCACAAACCTCAGATTCTTGGGAAGGGAACAGACAATAGACAGTAGAAAATCCGGGTGGGTTAACTGCCGAGAGGAGAATAATGAGGGGTGTGATAGAAAGTGTGGGCCCGGGAAGGGGTCAGGGGAGGACTTGCCTAAGTGACATTTTGCTGGGATCTGAAGCAGGAGAAGGAGCCAGACTTTTTAGGAACCAGCTTTTGAGTTAGACAGCAAGTGCAGACTCCCCGAGGGAGGGAAAGTTTGACACAGTCAGGGCTCAAAAACAAAGCCATTATGGCCAAAATAGGGATGGGAGGAGACATGGCAGTGATGAGATGGGGGGCTTATGTATTCCTGAGAGACAGATGGGATAGATAGATTTTCTTCAAAAAATGTTAAGATTGTTACCCTTAAGCTTTCATTGTCTTTGTGCTTTGTTTTTGCATTCACAATTCTCTAATGAACATATATTAGACTTGTACTTAAAGGAGTTTTATATATTTTTTTAAATAATTGAATTTTATTTCCCTTCGCAGAAAATAAGCAACATTTTTGTACCCCAGGAAAGAATTTCAGGTTATTTTGGCTTAAATAATTGTACCATTGTAATAATTCTTCTGTTTCTCTGGAGTCCTTGCATTTGGACTGATCCCTCCAACCACCTTCCCAGTCCCCCAATTTCCTAGTGTCCAGCATGTTTTTAAAGATATATTTATTTATTTTAGAGCTGGGGGGAGTGCGCAAGTGAGGGGACGGGTAGAGGGAGAGATTCTCAAGCAGATTCTCTGCTGAGCACAGACTCCAACTCTGGGCTCCATCTCAGGACCCTGAGATCATGACCTGAGCTGAAATCAAGAGTCAGATGCTTAACTGACTGAGCCACCTAGGCGCCCCATAGTTCCCAGCATATTTTTGATGCAAAATAAGAAGGTCTGTATCTGCATAAATTATTAGTTATCATTTTTTAAAAAGATTTTATTTATTGGAGATAGAGAAATTACCGGGCGGGGGAGGGGCAGAGGGAGAAGGAGAGGGAGAAGAAGCAGGCTCCCTGCTGAGCAGGGAGCCCAATGCAGGGCTTGATCCCAGGATCTTGGGATCACTACCTGAGCTGAAGGCAGATGCTTAACTGACTGAGCCACCCAGGCACCCCATTTATTATTGTTTTTTCCTGTTGTTAATAATTCATGTTTTAGGTTTTGAGAGGGAGAATTTTGAGTCTTTCTGTGTAAAGATGGTAAGGTTGTGATGCTGCTTTACTGTTTCAAGGTTCGATGGTCATGAGAAATTAAAACCACTCGAGCAACTCTGGTCAGTAGGCATGTAGCAGATTCCCTGGGATAGGAAGGATAGTGCCAAGAACATGAGATTTGGAGTCCTGTTTGATTTTGTCTCTACCACTTACAGGCCTGTGACTTTGGGCAAGTTATTGACTCTCCCTGAGCCTTAGTTTCCTCACCTATTCAATGCAAACAATAAAGATTTCAAAAGTGCCTTTATTCGTGGGATGTCTTGAAGATTACATGAGTTAGTGCCTGGTAGCAGTTCCCAGTGCTCTCACCACAGCTGGGCATCTAGGGCCAGCATGTCATGTAGACACCTGCCAACACTGATTGTGCACAGTAACCAAACAGAACGACTGATTGGATTGCCAAGCTGTTTTAACTTTTTTTTTTAAGCATAACATGCAAAAAAAAAAAGTGCAGATTAGGAAATGAACTATCACAGTGAACACACCTGTAGGCACCATCCAGGTCAAGAAATAGAACGTGGCCAGCACCTGGGAAAGTCCCCTCTGGCCCCTACCTCTTATATTCCCTACTTGTCTTCAGGGGTTACCAGTGTCCTTGGTCATCTTTGACACCATAGATTACTTTTTCCTGCTTTTCAGCTTTGTGTAAATGGAAACATAGTGTCTAGTCTTCTTGTGTCTGGCTTCTTTAGCTCCACATTGTGTT